CGCAGGGGGGGGTATGACGCAACCATCTACCTTCAGCTTGCCGGCTTGAAAACCTCCAAGAAATCTGTTCCCCTCGTCTGTCTCGACCACAACTGCAAATGCCCAGGCTGGGGAGGGGCAAGGGGACCCCCCCGAACCAATTGCACGGATGGAAACCCGACAATTGCAAAAAAATATTCCAAGGGGGAAGGGCAGTAAGGTGCTCAACCGATGACTCGAACAGAAACCTTTCCAACGACCTCCAGTCTTGGTCAAGCTGCCGACCCCGCGGTGCCTTAATAGCCGTTGTTAAGACCCCGCTTCAGGATACGACGACCTTGGCGTGCGGCGCACAGATTGCCCACTCTCGTCCAGGGTATCGATATCCGGATCAACGGGAGTGGGCGGTGTTCTTATCCCTGCGGATCTTCTGTGGCAGGTTGCTTTTGTCCCGCGCCCTCTCCTGCGCGCCCTCCGCGCAGAGACCGCCCTGCGAGCCATCGCTCAACATGACTTGGCGGCCTCTCGGCGCCGACTGCGCAGGCTGTTGGGCAACAAAGCCTGGAGGAGGCGGAGGCTGGAACAGATGGGTGCCAGAAAGGGGGGTGGCCGCTGCCTGTGCAGCAGCCGGCTCTCCAGAAGGAATCGCTGCTTGCTGCTGTGCCGAACCCGCAGCAGGGGCGGCCTGTGCCCTGCCTGTTGGATTATGGCAAGAGTTAGGGCTTGATGCCTCGCATTGACACTCACGATCTGCTGTGAGAAATTGGAAGCATGAGCATCTACACTGGACTGGCACGCTGTCAACGCATGGCTCATAGCCACGAGTCGCTGCTGAATTGCTGCTGAACCTGGGACTTGCATGGTACTCACCTGTGCATGCGGGGGTGTCGGCTGATGGGCCTCTCTCGGCGGGGGCTCTTCTTGTGGCTCTGCTCGCATGGTCTGCTGGGCACTCCTCCTCTGGGGTCCTACAGGCAAGGGCTCTGACGCTCCCCCTGCGTCTGGACCTTCCGATGTGCCTTCTGGCCTGCCTTCGTCGATCTCCAGAAGAGCGCATTCGAGCCGATGGACCCACTCCTCTGCTGTATCCCTCTTCTGCTGCAGCTGCTCCAACTCCTGGTCCAATGTGGTGATATTCGTATCGATATGTTCCAATATTGCTCAGGATCTCGAAAGAGCTGTAGCCTGTCTGTCGTGCTGGTCCTGCCACGGTCTGCACATATGGATGGCCGTTAGAACAACACTGAGCCACTCTTTCTCTCTCTCTCTCTCGTCCTCTGAGGTCTCGTTGTTTTCGTCCTTCATCCTGATCGAAGCCGCAAGCGTCTTCAACTCCTGACGGCGTTTGGCGATATATTGTTTTCTCTCTGTGGCAGTCGCCGTGGGTGGCAAATCCCACCAGCCCTTTGGGCGTGAGTGGTTTAGAGAGCCCGCTCTGTTCTCAACCCCCTTCTTCCCCTTCGGGGAGGGGTTTACCCCTCCCCCTACCCCCTCCCCCTGGACCTGGAGGGGGCCTTTCGCGGGTGGTTGGAGGGTGCTTTTCCGACCCCTGGGAGGGCTAAAATTTGACACCTTTCACGAGGATCGTGGCCCCGACGGGGGGACTGACGGAAATGCTCGCCTCATCTTTGAAGCCAAAATCATTGATTTTACTACGGTTTTGGCCCCCATAAAGCTCCCCTCTTCTTTCAAGCCAAAATCATTGATTTTACTAAGGTTTTGGCCCCATGTTGGCCTTCTGAGGGGGCAGCGCTAATTAAAGCTCCCCTCTTCTTTGATCGATTTCCTCCAAGATGGCCCCAAGAAGCGGCCAGGAGGCACCAAGAGGCCCCAAGATGCCCCCAAGAGTCCCCCAGGAGGCCCCCAAGAGGATCCCAAACGGCCCAAAGAGGCCCCCCCGAGGCACCCAAGACGCCGAAAAGCCCATCAGGACGACCCTCTACTCGCCTGGGCGTCGTTTCTGGACGGGCAGGAGGAGGGGCCCGAACGATTCACACCAGGACGAGGGGCCCGAACAACTCACACCACGAGAAGCCCGAACGACTCACACCAGGACGAAGAGCCCGAACGACTCACACCACGAAGAGCCCGAACGACTCACACCAGGAAGAAGGACCCGAACGACTCACACCAGGACGAGAAGCCCGAACGACTCAAACCACGAGGAGCGCTTTCTCTCCCTCCTCCTTCGCCTCGTCCTTCTCCCGCTCCCCCCACAAGGAGGATGTACAAGGAGGCGGGAGGAAGGAGGAACAGGGGAGATATGCGGGGGCAAGCGGACACACGCCTGAAAAACTCGATTGTCGGCATGCTTCGCAAGAGTTGCTGTTGTGAGATGGGCTGGTGGGGATACGCGAAGCGTAAAGAATCTTCTGGATACCTGAAATGCAATCGAGCAGTTCTGGGAAGTGCTGGCAAGATACCCTATGGCTGCCGATCCTCTTCCTCCTCCTCGTCTTCTGTGAAGGACACGGCAGGGCTGCTCTGACGCTTCGGTCCCCTCTGGCGGCGCGCTGCTCCCTCGTGTTGCTCTTCCTGTTGAGGACGAGTCTGGCACACCCAGGGGTCGCGCACAAAGCCGCCAGCCGAACCTTTGCCCCCGCCGTCCTTGCCCCCACGAGATTGCTGTCTGCCTTGTGCACCAGCATCTTCCTGATTGATGCGCAGCAGAGTAAGATCGACAAGTAGATCTTTCGAGAAAGTTGAATGTTCCGCATTCTGCACAACTCCAAATATTCATGGACTGGGCCGAGTGATGTTGCGATAGCCTGGGCCGAGCAACGCGTCGCCGTGACGCAAGACTCCAGTTTAGCTGCCTTCCTCGAGCTGCTGCAAGCCTTGGTAGCAACCTGTCGTCTGCCCTCCGATAATGGTCACGACGATGGGCGGCAGTCTCTCTGGAGGTGACCTCCGCCGTCCGCCGTGGGCGGGATATCCCGGCTGGCCGAGCAGGGCTGGCGCGCTAGGCTCCAAACTTTCGGAGACACGGAATCGAGGGGACGAGAGAGCGAGAAATATTGCCAATCTAAACGCACCGCCAGGAAATGCCTCCGACGGCCCGAGCCTTAGAGAGGAGGGAGGAGGGAGGAGGAGGTGGAGGAAAGCAAGAACGGAGACGGAAGGCTCCCTCCCCATTCCCCAACCTTGCTCCCCACTGCCCCGAGGATGTCCAACTCCCGCCATCCCGCCCCGATGGTTTGAAGCGCCGCTGCCGTACCAAAGCCCCGAACACGAGCACGTTAGTCCTTGTCCGTCGGCCCAGAAGCCCAGATTGGAACGTGTTTGTGTTTGTGTGCGTGTGCGTGTTCGCAAGCGTTTTGGGGTATCCGTCCCTTCCTCCCCCGCCTCCCTCCCCGTCTCCCGGTGTCCCGCTTGCTGTCCGCACACGAGAGATTCCGAGACCTCCGAGAGCCTTCGGAATGCAAGATGAGTTTCCAAAGCGAAAGGGACTGAGATTGCGGTGTGTGGTTTAAGCTTCGATTTGGGAGGCAGCTGAGACTCCGGATTGTCGGGCTTACATGCTGTCCTCTGCACGTTCTACGGAGAAATAACCGCATGCCGATGATAATAAAGGGACCCCCCCCTTCAGTGTTTAGAGTTGATTATCGTCGCCCTATACAAAATTCAAATTGGGCGGCGAGCGCTGAGGCCGAACTTCATTATCACCTCGAAACGCTATGTTGAGATAGCAACATCAAGCGGTGTTGATATAGCAACATCAAGCGAAGCGATCACACTTTTTCAGGATGTGTCAAGCGAAACCAATAATTTTGGGAGGCAGACTCAAACGAAACGAGCAATGTTCTTATTATTATTCTAATTTCCTCTTCTTCTTTTATATTTCTCTCTGTCCCCACGCTCGCCTGAACTTTTTTATCCCTGGGGTTGATTATCCATGGAAATTGAGGCATCTGAGCTACCCTACACGAGCACTTACAAAACAACAATTTTCATGAGAGATAAACCATTGTTGAGGATATTTCTATGAAAACTAAACACCAAGGATGTCTCAAAACGTGCTCGGCTTGGTCTCCTCTTGATCATCTCTTACTTCGAGATTATGCTGAGGTCTGCTGGGCTACTTTTATTATCTCTCCCTGAACCCCGAACTTTATTATCCCCTAGTGTTTATTCTCACGGGCATGAGGTTATGGGGGATGACCAAACAGCGATGTTTGCAGAGTCTACAGCCCACGCCGCGAAAGAGTTGTCAGCACGTGGCCCGCGCCCTGGCATCTCGAAGTGCAGTCAGCCCTCCCCGAAAGACGCCCCCAAGTGGTTCCAGCCCCAAGAGTGTACGAGTCCAAACGCCCCAACCAAAGTCCTAAAATCCCGACGCCCCGTATGAAAATCGCTTAAGACCTTGTCAAACCGCCCCCAGATTCCTGGTTTCCCCAGCCGATCCCCGAGCAGTCTTCGGGCGAGCCCGACTGAGCGGTGCGGGCTCATATGGTCTCTATCGCCCGAAGTCTCGCGCCGTTCAGCAGGACCCGCGCGGTGGCGACTCCTCCAGTCGGGAGGAGGGGGGAGGAGAAGACCACGATGCGACGTGGAAGAGGAGGAGGAGGAAGGCCAGTTGGATGGGGAAGGGCGAGCAGGCGAACGGGCGGAAGGGGAACGGGGGAAGGAGTGGGAAGAGGGAGGGGGGAGGGGCTTCGAGGAGGGAAGAGGATGAACAGGAGCAGGAGTAGACGAGGAAATAAGAAAAACGAGGGGCGAAAGAGTACGAGGAGGAGTTGGAGGAGGAGGCGGCGGCGGAAGAGGGGGAGGAGGCTGCTGCAATTCTGCCGTCCAACGTCTGTATATGCCAAGAGACAGTCTCTGCAACTTCTCGGCGGGCATCTTGCTGTGCGCGCTGGTCGCTGCCCGTGCGGCTTCGGCTCCAGAGGTGCTCTCGAGGACGAGGGGGGCGCCTGCGGGTGGGATCGAGCAGGAGGACGAGGAGGAGGAGGAGGAGGAAGAGGAGGAGAGCGAGGAGGAGAGATGCCCGGATGCCCCTCCCCCGCCTGACGCCAACTCAGGACCGCGCGGTGGTGGCGACACCGCCAGTGCAGGCGGCGGCCGCACCGCCGCCTCCGCTCGGCGAGCCGAAGGAGGCCGCGCCCGCCGCCGGTCGATCGTCGCGGGTGCCGCGGCGGCGGCGGCGACGGCGACGGCGGCGAAGAGAACGACAGCGTGACGGTTACGACAACGGCGATGGCGGCGACGGCGGAGGCGGCGACGGCGACGATGACGACGGCGCGGCGACGATGACGGCTGCGACGACGGCCGCGCAACTGCGGCGGCGACTGCGACGGCGGCGACGATGACGCCCCCCCCAACCCCCAGACACCCATGGACTCCCCAGGACCATGTACGAACTTTTGATGTTTCTTTCGGAGGATCTTGGCATCGCTCGGACGTGTGCATTTTTTTCGGCGAGATCCATCGAGGACCATCCTGGACCATCGAGCAAAAAAAAACACACGAAATCGAAAAATGCACGGGAAATGGACGTCCGAGCGACGGCAAGGGATCTCAAATGAGTCCCTCGCCCATCCCCAGCATGCTCCTGCCCTGTGCCTGGTGCCTCCTTCCTTCTCATTCACCGCAGCCTCCTCACAGCCTTGTCACTGCCTCCCATCTCTCCGGAGAGCCCCCGAGAATCCTGCTCAGAACCATTAAGAAACGCCAGGACGCTCTTGCTTTTGAACACCATTGGCAATCTTGGACCATCCTTAACATCCGAAAGCCCTGCAGTCTTGCGGCGACGCCGACGAGGCGGAAGAGGAGGGAGAGGAACAGGAGGAGGGAGGGGGCGGAGAAGGAGGAGGAGGCGGAGGAAATGGAGTGGAGTGGAGTGGAGTGGAGTGGAGTGGAGTGGAGTGGAGTGGAGTGGAGTGGAGTGGAGTGGAGTGGACGCCATGACGAGGTCATATCAAAGTAAGTTTCTCCCCTGATCACCACGGACACCACGACGTTGAGGCCGAGCGCCACGACGAATAATTCGAAGGAGCGCGAGATATATCACGCCTGTCCAGCCCGCGGCAACGCTCATGTTCCTCAAGCCGAGAGGGCCCGGTAGCACAATGAGAGACAACAGACACATACATATAGCCGACCAATTGCACAACAACCTAGTATAATGCCGATGACGTGATGCAGGTAGGCGGAGGCGAGCAACATGCCAGCCCAGGAACCCCACGATCTCGAACGGCGAGCATAGCGGGCGACGAAGAACGTGACATTGTTGAACACCGATAGCCGGCAGCACGAGAAGCGCAAGGAGCCACACGGCACGGCAGCATTGGTGCAGGCAGTCCGCGCCAATGGGAGGCATGACAGGCGTGCTCCCCGTTGCAGTTCCCGTGGATGTCGGCCGCACGGCCACTGCAGCACGCGCCCCCGCGGCGCCCGCGGTGGCACTCCAGTCGCTCCGCGGCCCCGTCGTCACCGCGGCCCCGCGGCGCTCCCCGCAGTGCTTCCCGGTCGCCGAGGAGATGCTCGCGCGCCGCGCTGCCCTCCCAGCCCGCCGCGGCGGCCAGCGGTCGGGCATGCATCCTCCGAAGAGGGCCTGGGTGTGCGCCCTCGGCGCCAGCAGCTGGCCCGTCTGGCGGCACGGCAGCGGTGCCATCCCCGCGCTGTAGACAACCGCCCCCCCACAGACGGGTGGGACGGGGCCAGCCTCGGAATCGCGATCAGCTCCACGAGCAGCACGAAGGTCCGCGACGAGGCCATCGGCTTGGGCGAGCCAGTTGGTCCGCCAATCCGCGTCGCCGAGCTCGCCCGCCTCCGTCCTCTCGGGCGCCTTCTCCTCGGCAGCTGCTGCGACCCCCGCCGCGGGCGTGCAGGGTTCGCCAGCTGCGGGGGAAGCGCGCCGCCGCGTCCGCCCGCCCCGCCGCCGCCAGGCGCGGGCCGGCGCAGAGCCTCAACGCGTCTATGGCCGATCCGAAGCGGGAGAGCGCCGAGCTGCGCTGCCTGGCGACCGCCTCGAGAGTGCCGAGGAGGCGCGAGTCAGCCCGGGTGTCCGCCTGCCGGAAGGGGGCGCGCCGCCCAGCCGACGTGCGGAGCGGGCGTCGGCGCGGCGCCGCGGCCGCAGGCGCCAACATCACGGCCCGCTGGGAAGGGTAGGACGCGGGGGCGGAGCCAGGAGCCCCGTGGCGAAGAGGGGAGGGGTGGGGACGATGATAAGGAACAGGAGCAGGAGGCGAATGAGGAGGAGCAGGAGCAGGAGGATGTGGAAGAGGAGGCAATGCAGAAGAGGATGATGATGATGATGATGATGATGATGATGATGATGATGATGATGATGATGATGATGATGATGATGATGATGATGATGATGATGATGATGAGATGAGGAGGAGGAGGAGGAGGAGGAGGAGGAGGAGGAGGAGGAGGAGGAGGAGGAGGAGGAGGAGGAGGAGGAGGAGGAGGAGGAGGAAGGATGAGGAGGATGAGAGGAGGAGGAGGAGGGAGGAGGAGGAGGAGGGGGGAGAGAGGATGAGGTGGAGGAAGAGGAGTATGCAGTGCGGAAGAGGAGGAGGAGGCAGTGCAGTAGAGGAGGAGGAGGAGGAGGAGGAGGAGGAGGAGGAGGAGGAGGAGGAGGGAGGAGGGAGGAGGGAGAAGAGAGGGAGAGGAGCGGGACGGGTTAGGGAGGGAAGGATCCCCTAGGTCGTGGCCGGCGGGTGCGAGTTCTATGACCTCCCGAGCGGCGGCCGCCGCGTCTCCGCAGAGGGTGGTGCCCCGACCCCCGACCGGTTGCGGGGCGGGGTGTGGTGGGCTTGTTTTCCACCGCCGCCACCTTAAGTATTAGGGGGAGGGGGTCCTCCTCTTTCTCAACTTCTTCTCCCTCTTCCTCCACCTCCTCCCCCCTCCAACGTATGGTGGTGGTGTTGGTGGAGAACAGGCCCAGCTCATCAGGGTGGGCCTCCTGACCCCCTCCCAGGGCTCATGTCGACTCCTCCGATTCGATACGCTTCCGAGGGTTTCCGATTCCGCTTCGACTCGACCTCGGATCTCCGATTGGGACTCCGATGTCTCAACGGAGGCCTACCGACCGGCCGATCTACGCAGGTCCGACTTCTCCCGTCTCGGCTGCCGACTTCCGCCGATCCGATTCATGTCGATCGGCGACCTGACTCATCGACTCGAGTCTGGGCTCTCGTGCCCCCACACGGTGGATTCGCGTCGTGTCGACTCGCCGCGGCCCCGCCGCTAGCGTTCCCAGGTTGAGCGTCGCCAGTGGCCCAGAATCGGCCAATATGGAACGATCTGGCGTTTTGGAAATGGCCGGTCGTCCAAAGTTGAACGACCCACGCGATCCACGCGCTGTCAGATATCAACGGCGCGGTCGACACGACATGAACTTGCCGTACCCGAGGAGCCAGATCTCACTTTGGGTCGTTGGCCAACGGCCGCAGACTCCTTGATCGGCGGCGAGATCCGAACTAGGTCCTCGCCGACCAACGACCCAGGCAACTCGATCGGCGGCGCGGGGTAGGGTTCGAAATTCGTCGAATGCGTAGCGAAATCCGAACCCGACCCCCGCCTTCCATCGATTCCGGAGACTCGATGGTTTGTGGGGGTAGGGTTCGGAGGTCGCCAGCTACAAAGACCTGAGACTCCCTGAGCCAGAGCCGCCGAGATCGAGTCGCCAAGGTGGAGGAGGAGGAGGAGGAGGAGGAGGTGGATGAGGAGGTTGATGAGGAGGAGGAGGAGGAGGGAGGCGGAGGAGGATGTGGAGGATGAGAAGGTTCCCTCTTGCTGCTGCCGTCCATCCCCTCACTCTCCTTCGCGTCCCCCCTCCCTGGGAGATCCTGCCTGGGTATCTCTCGTGCGGCCTTGGAGGTCCTGTGTGATCCTCGTTGCCGCCGTCCCCATCCTGCCCATGCCGCCGTGTTCATCAGATCGGGCTTCCGACCTCTGCCCTGAGGCTGCGAGCGAACGAACAAGTGTGAGGTCGGAGGATCCAGGTCTTCGTGCGATGCCGTCCTCTGGGGGGAGGCTTTCGACGCGGCGGAGAGGGGCCTCTTCCTTGGACGAGGGGCAGGGCGAAGAGTTCGAGGTCCGAGGTTCGAGGGTCAAGGTTGGGGGGCGATGCCGGCCCGTTCGGGGGCTTCGGAGACCTCCATGAACCTGCGGAGGTCGTCGGTGACTCCGCAGATCCCGCGAAGACCTCCAGCTTGAGGAGTTCTGGCACGGTGTTATCTTGTATAGGGGCATTCTCTTCTTGACCGGTTCCCGCAACAGATGACCCATAGTCTTCGCAGCAGACGCGGAAGAGGGCTCGATGTCGTGAGGAGGGTTTGGGTAGGGGCCTGAGTGGGACTCCCACTTGCGCCAGCGAGCCCAACGAAGTCGAAGCCACCCCGGTGTGCCGCCCAGCGAACGTGAGGCACCCAGTGACCGCAGGACCCGCAGATCTCCCAGGGGAATTGAGCCAAGTGTTGCTGCTGCTGCCGCTCCATCTCCTCTGCGGGGCCTTCGGGGGGGCCCTTGTCGCCATCGCTGCGCCCGCCTCGAAGTCCCTGTCGGTACGTGCCCCCGGACTGGCACGGCGGCCGCCTCCGAGGCCCAGGACCCCGACCCCTGGGCGCCGCGGAGGAACACACGACGCCGGCGTCTCTCCTCGCGGGCGATGTTTCTCCACGGATCCCCGAGCTCCGGCCGAAAAGTTTGGCCGCTCAGACAAAGAGAGGAAGTCTGGGATACACCCCAATGGGAGGCTATTCGGACACACCCCATGTCGAGGGTGGACGCCCGCCCACCTCGTATGTCCCAGTGTTGGGCCCCAGGTGTTTGGTTTAAGTCGGGCACGTCCCTCTACAGGAGGAAAGCTCAATACTAGTAAGATCATAGTCAGGAGACGATGTGCTGAATCTGTTTTGGCAATGCTTGAACGTGTTTTGACTACTTCTCATTTTTCGCCCAAAACCCGCCTGTAGGGGGGACATGCCCGACCTGTCTGGTCGAAGGCCCCCCAAAGTCGAGGGAATTGGAGTCGCCGTGTCCCCCACTATCTCCGTCAACTCTGGCAGTCGGGGGCCTCCTGCAGGCCCCTGGCCATCCTGGCAGAAGCAGCGCGGGGCGAAGACCGTCTAACAGAAACAAGCAACAAGTTGAACGTTTCCTTATTTCACCAAGCGCGTTCCACTACTCGCAAAGTGCCTACTCGCAAACGTCCGGAAAACAGATGTTTGCTTCGATGAAATCAAATTCATGGTAGATCCCCCGCGGCGGATCCAGGCCACTTGCGAGGAGTCACTCTGCGAGTAATGGAACGCGCTCGTCTATCATTCGGCGTTTCGGCATCGGGCTGAAGGGGGGGGAGGGGGGGGGGGTCTGGCTCCAGAGACCGCTGCTTGATGCGACTGTCCGCAAGCAGTGCGCCCCACCGGGGAGGCTCCACCTGCTCGAAGCAGACACCAAACACAGCCACGAGCTGTTCCATGAGAGGGGGGAGGGGTGGGGGGGTGCGAGGGCCCGCGCCGATCGGCAAAACAAGGAATCAGAAAACGATCACAAGCAAAAACATCAACATTTTTTTTCGCAAAAAGGAAAGAACGAATCAAGCAACAACATATGCTTAACACGAGAGCAATAACCATCTTGTCCATGCAGAAGCAACATAATACGACAAACACGACAGGCACAACACAAACATATGTTTCACACGGAACAGTCAGGCGATCGCAAACATGGATCAAGGGGCGTGGATTAGCGACGGGTCCCGTTTCCCTCGGAAATCGCGGCTTTCCGCCGCCGAGCGAGGCGGCACCGGCCGCACTTTGGGGAGGGCACCTCCCCCGATCCATGGATCTGGCGACCGCGCGCCAGATCCGCGGATCGCCAATCCATGTTTTTCGCGCCCCCAGACAGGCACAGCACACGCATCCTCCTTTCACGCGGAACAGAGAACTCACACAGCATAGCGCGTCGCCGAGGGCCTGGGCCCGTCGACCCCCGCCCGCTCTCCCCCCAGCTCAGGGAGCAGGGGCGGCGCGGGGCGGCCCCGTGCGGGGGCAGGCACGCGAGCACGGGGCCTGCGCCGGGCAGCGGCGCGGCAAGACCTTCGAGAGTACCACCCCGGGGCGCGGCGCCCCAGAGGTCCAAAGTGTTGGCAGACATCAGGACACACGTGTTTCGCAGCTTTCGGCCTCTGGGGGCCCTCACCGGGCCTCGCGGGACCGTCAGAGAACGACTTAAGATGGAAAAGCGGCTCTGGGGGATGGGCCGACCCTTCTGCGGACCCCGTCTTGAAGAAAACACGGCATCGGATCTCTGGGGCATGGCGGCGAGGAGGAGGTCGCCATGGGCAAATGGTGGGAACCCGTTTCTTGCTTGGGGCATGACGGGCGTCATGGCCCCCAGCCCCCCATGACGTAACGCTCCCCCCCAAGTGCGCTCCGGGCACTGCTGCCGTGCGCATTGGGATCCGCGTAGGTGTCCGCGTAGGAATCCGCATAGCAGTCTGGTCCGCAGTCGTCATCGTCGTCGCCGTCGCTCGTGGCTCGTCGCTCGTGGCTCGTCGCTCGTCGCTCGTCGCTCATCGTCGTCGCGCGCGCGGACGCGGCTGGAGCCTGTTTTTGTTCCGGGCCGATGACGGCAATCATCCAGGGGGGGGTGGAAGGGGGTGGATGACGTCACGTTTCGCGCCGGCGGCGTCTCGGAACGTCTCGGAACGACGGGGGACGAGTAACACCAGCATGCAGGTGGCGATCTGCACCGCCACTCCTGTGTACACCACAGTGCCTGCGTGCACCACAGCGCCTGAGTACACCACACCGCCAATGTACACCACAGCAGCCGCGTGCAACATAGCGTCAGTTTGTGCCACCGTGCTTGCGGGCACAGTAGCTCTTGTGTGCACCACAGCGCCTGCGTACACCACATCAGCCGTGCGCAACACAGCACCAGTGTACACCACAATGATGTGTGCATTGCAGTGCCTGTGTACACCACGGCCCCTGCGTGCACCACAGCAACCGTGTGCAAGACATCACCACTGTTGTATATATAATGTTGGAAGCCATCCTTATGACAAAATGGAGCGCTTGTGGGTTCCATAGGAAACAATGGAAAGGAATCCTTATGGACAAAGGAGCGCCGCTGGAATCTACGAGTTCTCCCGAGTCCGCCCGCATCATCCTGACTTCCCCCATTTGCGTCCAGGAGGCTCCAGCTAAATGGGCCGTCCGATAACCAAATGGACCGATTCATTAGACCATTTCGCGGCGCACGCTGAGATGCTCACGTGCGCTTTAGCGCCAACCCGCACGACAGGGGATAAGGAGGAGGAGGAGGAGGAGGAGGAGGAGGAGGAAGAGGAGGAGCAGGAGGAGGTGGAGGTGGAGGTGGAGGAGGAAAGAGGAGGCGTTTAGTTGTCCGTAGCAGATTGTCACGTACATGCTCCGTCTACCTGTCCTTTGCACAAGCGTTGTGGTGTACACCAGCGCTGCGTTGCACGCGGATGCTGTGGTGTAGACTTTCGTTGTGGCGTGCAGAGACGCTGCGGTGTACGCAAGCATTGTGGTGTCCACAGGCGGTGTGTTGCACATGGTTGCTGCGGTGTACACATGCACACCGGCGCTGTAGTGTACGCAAGCACTGTGGTGTACACGGCGCTGAGCCGCACCGAGCGCCAAGAGGAGGGCGCCAGCAGCGGAGCCGCATGTTGCAGGCAATCAGTCTCGCGGTCGCGCTCGCGGCTGCGGGGCGCGGAAACAACAGCGCGCGGCGACGCCAGGCTGCGGCTCTGCCTCGGCGCAGCAGGCCAGCGACCCTCGTCCGTCATTGGCCTCGTCAAGAGACGCTGGGCCGACGGGTAACGAGGATAGGCCACCACCTCCCAGCGAGCCGGCCTTGGAAGAGGCCGCGAGGTCCCGCTCCCCACGGTTCGGCCGCCAGCAGCGCCAGCCGTCGTCGGCCCCAGCGGTGCTTGGTGGGGGCGAGCCCGCCGCCGAGGAGGGCCCGCCGCGGGCGCGCGACGCCCTCGGCCACATCGTGCAGCGCGCCTTCGGCTACTTGCTGTGCGCGCGGTGCCACGCCTACGCCAGGGAGTGCATCGGCAGCATCAAGGCCCTGGCATCCCAGTGCGCCCGACACGTGGGCGAGGCGGGGCGCATCCGTCGGCTTCGGGCCGACCGCATTCGCAAAGGCCTGCACCCCACCAGCTCGGTGCGCCTCGCGGACGACGCGGCGGCTGGCGAGGCACCAGGCCTCCTGAGCGCGGCCGCCCCCGCTCCGTGGCCGCGCTAGCCGCGCTGGCCCTTTTCGGCGCCACCAGCGCGCCGCCCGCGCCGCGACGGCCCACGCGTCGTCGGCGGCTGCGGGCCTCCGCGCGCCCGTGGCGCGCGCACGGGGCGTCGGTCACCGCCGTCCTCCTGGGGCTTTGCCCCCCCCCAAAAAAGGGTTGTTGTGGTGTGCGCAGGCGCTGTGGTGTACACGCGCGCTGTGGTGCACGCGAGCGATGTGGTGCACACAGGCGCAGTGGGGCAGATCGCCATTTACTTGTTGCTCGCGCCGTCGTCGTCGTCGTCGTCGTCGTCGTCGTCGTCGTCGTCGTCGTCGTCGTCGTCGTCGTCGTCGTCGTCGTCGTCGCTCGTCGCTCGTCGCTCGTCGCTCGTCGCTCGTCGCGTCGTGCGCGCAGGCGCGGCTGTGGTGCTGGAGCCACACAACGGGGGGGGAGGGCGGTACGTCATACCCCCCCACGCCCCCCCATGACGCCCGTCATCGCCGAACATAAGGAAACGCGCTCTAGGGGAACGAGCAATGACAGAAATATAAGAACTCGGAGGTCCGCGCCGGGGCCTGCACCTCGAGGGGCGGCCGTGCGGTGGCAGGCATGAGCACGGGGCCTGCGCCGGCAGCGGTGCAGCAACACCTTCGAGAGAGCCACCCTGGGGCGCGGCGTATGGCGGCGACGAGGAGGTCGCCATGGGCCAATTGTAGGCGATCGCAAAGATGGATCAAGGGGGCGTTGATTAGCGACGGGTCCCGCTTCCAGGGGAAATCGCGGATTTCCGCCGCCGAAGGAGGCGGCACTGGCCGCACTTTGGCGAGGGCACTTCCCCCGACCGCGCGCCAAGTCCATGGATCGCTAATCCATCTTTCGCGCCCCCGAAAGTGGGTCCTGAGGGAGACGGGCCCTGAGGTTTTTCATTGTTTTCGGGGTCTCGGGGCCTTCCACGGGCCCCGGGGCCGTCGGAAGACGACTCGGGGTGAAAACCCGTCCTGGGGGAAGGCCCTGGAGTCCAGGGCCCGTGTTCTCGGGACCCGCTGCCCCCGTGTTCAGTCAGCAACAACGCAGCAGTTTTCGCTGAACAATTTGGCGCGGCGTGCGCATGCACGCCAGGTGAGGGAGGAGGAGGACGAGGACGAGGAGGAGGAGGAGGAGGACGCGGGAAAAGGGAGGAGGAGGACGAGGAGGAAAAAGAAAAGGAGGAGGAGGAGGAGCAGCAGCTGCTCATCCTGAGTCATTGTCTGACGGTCCTGGGGCCCGTGGAGGGCCCTGTGGGGTCGAAAACAGCGACGGGCTCCAAGGACCCTTGTTCCTTCAGGACCAGTCTCTCTCATGCGACAGATGGGGCCGAGCCCTGGTCGAAGCACGCGCGCGGATGGAAGCCGACGACGAAAACGACGACAACGGCGACGACGACGACGACCACGACGACGACCACGACGACGACGACCACGACGACGACGACGACGACGACGACGACGACGACGAAGACGACGACGACGACGACGACGACGACGGCGACGGCGACGGCGACGGCGACGGCGACGGCGACGGCGACGGCGACGGCGACGACGGCGCGGCGCGCGAGGTGCCTCCGACGATCCCCGCCTCGAGGCGGCGGAGCAGAGGTGGTGGGGCGTGCGGGACCGCCGCTTGCCCCCCCCTCGATGGAGCGGGGGGGAGGGGGAGTCAGTGGCGGAGGGGAGGGAGGGAGGGGCGGACCGACAGACCGACGGGGCGACAGACCAACAGACAGACACACAGTTGTACAGGCAGGCGGACAGGCAGACAGACCGACAGTTCGACAGAGAGGCAGACAGACTGGCAGACCGACAGGCAGGCGTGCAAGCGCACAGGCAGACAGACATCCAGGCAGGCAGGCCAGGTGTGCTTGCGCCACATCCTGGCATCGCTCGGGCGTGTGCACTTTTTCCTGGCGAGGGCCATCGGGGAGCATCCTGGGTTATTAGCACGGACGAGACCGAAGAGTACCGTGCGAAGGCGAGATCTGGCATCCTACCCCTCCCTCCCATCCCTTCCCCTGGCGCTGATGTTCGATCCGCGAGTGCGTGTCGTGGCGGACCTGGAGCTCCAAAAGGGGCCCCTATCGTGTTCTGCGCCGTCGGAGAAGTGGGGCCGGGGGGCGAGGGGGGGGGGCCAGACTGGGGGTCCTGGAGACGGGGCCCTGATGACAGGCAAGGGCATCCGCGTTGGCCTCATGTCTCGGCATGCCCTTGCCAAGTGCAAGGTACCCGCATACATGTTCCTCGCATAGGCTGAAGTGTCTTGCCCACGGCAGGGACCCGCCTCCGATGCGTGTATCCTTATCCTGATCCTTATGGCTCGGGGCCCGACCTCTGAAGTGCCAAGACGTGATGCGGACAGGGGCCGAGTGGGGAGGCCAACGTGGACGAGTTGCGAGTGGGAACGAGGAGCCGATCGGGAATCGAATGGGGACGCGAAGCGAACGCGGACGCATGACAGGTGGGCATTGAGAGGCAGGCAGGGGCCGATAGGGGACGAGGGGTGGCAAAGTGCGACTGGGGACGGATGGGGCATGGGTGCGACATGCGCACGGGAGCCCGCAGGTGGCGAATGGGCACGGGAGGCGAATGGCGTGTTTGTCTCGAGTAGGGACGAAGGGACACGGGCCGAAACGGGGCCGACTCGCGACGAGGGGCCAATGGAGACGCACAGCGAGTGCGTGAGAGAGGCAGGCAGGGGCCGACAGACCGACAGGGCCGAGTCGGCGGCACGAGGCGGATCAGGGGCGAGGCGAATCGGGCAGGAGAGGCAGACTGGGGGCGTGAAGCGGGTCAGGGTCGAGACGACGAATGCCGCTCCCCTCCTCGGGTCGAGGCGATGAAGTAGGGACGAGAGGAATGGGGGCGAGAACAGACATCTGCTCCTGCCCATGTGGATGCGACATCACCCTGTTTTCTGTTGTTTGCGAGCGTTGACCGCTTGGGGCGAGCATCGCCTGCCCAGATGCGACCGCTGTCAGTTCATGGCAACACTTGCTGTCGCGCATCGTTCACATGGTGCCTGTCCCCAGTTCGGGTGTGTCAGGCCTCCGACCTCAGGACCTCGATAATTATTTGTTCGTATCTTTCAGCTTTTGCTTAACGTGCTCGGTGGCTTTTGCGGGACCCCTTCAACAGCTTCAGGTCGACGCAAGAACAGCGGTACGGATGCCATGACAAGGAGCGCTAGCCAGGGGAGAGGAAAGAGTGCGAGGATTAGCAGCGGTCAGTGTTTCCTTCTCGCCCGTGCAGGCAGGTTCGCCTCGCCCGCACGCGCGACACGGACCGAATTCGAATCGAAACCGACCTCCCCGTTGGCATCGCCCCCCAACCTCCGGCCGTGCGATCCTCCGTCACCGCATTCTTGTGGAACGCTGCAGTGTACGTACGAGGATGGGTGTTCGTTAAGGAATGTGCCCAGGAGGCTGCAGACCCTGGAGGATTCCTTGTCTGATGAGGACGGCGGTGATATCCATGGCTGGTCCACATTGGAGTTCCACGCGCTTCCAGACCCTGGATTCCTTATCCAATCGCTCCTTACCCAATGCCCTCACCGTACCTCTCCTCCATGTCGCCGTCCTCGGCCGTCGTCGCCGCGTCACTGCCGCGGCCGCCGCCGCTATTGTCGCCGTCCGACCGCGGCCGGTGAGGACGGCGGCGACGCCCTGAGCCAGTAGGGCCGCGGCGGGTGAGAGTGGACCGTCCTCGTCGGCTTAGCACGGGGGCGCGAGCGGCGGTCTTCCCCACGCGCTGCAAAAGCCCTCTGCAGAAATACGGGGTATGGCTCTGTCGGTCCAGGAGTCCTGGAAATCCTCCTCGCAAGCATAGGTGCCAATTGGTCGCTTGATGGGGGGTGGCTGGAGGCTAGCATTTCCTTTGAGAGTGATGCTCGTGCGTGGCACTCTTGCGTGTGCCTTGCTTTCGATTGGCGTGTCAATTGGACAACGTCCCCAGCATGTCATGGTGCTCAGATGTCGTTTACCCAGGAAGGAGTTTCGCGGCGCCCAGGCCAACTTTGGCAAGGTGATGCAACGCGGTTATGCTGTGAAGAGAGGGAGGTTGGACGACCGAGGAGTAAATATAGTAACCATGAGAAGGATAGTACGGGATTCACGCAAGCACTTCCTGAATTCACGAAATCAAGGATGAAGAAGATAGAAGACCGGGATGTGTTCCCCGCAACCCTTAGGGGGGGGTGAGATGGGGGAGAACGACTACATACACATGTGTATATATATATATATATATAGATCATGGGGTTTGACAGGGCGCGGGTGAGGGAGATAGGGAGAGAGACAGAGAGTGAGAGAGATAGAGAACGAGTGAACGAGCGAGCGAGAAAGAAAGAGAGATAGGGAGAGAGAGAGAGACATCAAGAGAGAGAGGGAGGGAGGCAGAGGAAGAGAGCGAGAAAGAGAGAGAGGGAGAGCAACAGCGAGAGCGAGAAAGGAATAGGAACACCAACAACGACATTCCTGCACTGTCCGCGCATGTAGCACCACCGTGCCTCCCTCTCGGCATCTCCCCCTTATTAGTTTCAAAGTATGAAGCCCCCGATACTACTATCATCTCTGATCTTATCTAGATGCTGATGGCTGGCTGATTTCGCCGTGCAAGTTATCCACAGCGAGCTTCAAAACACAATTGTAAATCAAGTTTGCGGGACAGCCCAATGCTCTTTCCATGGGGAGTTGGGTAAATCCAACATGGCCCAAAGCAATTCCAAATGACTCCCCCAGACATTCCAAGGAATCTAAAGAACAGTTCGCAGAGAAGATGGAAACAATTGCTGGGGCCAGCCCTTCCACTCTTTCCAGCCCTGGCCGATTTCCCTCCAGTGTCCAGTTCTGGAGTCCTCATCCTAACTTTTTCGGGCTCGCTTCAGCCACTGCATGTTTTGTCCAGCCCTGCCACTTTCATGTAAGTTTCTCAACTTCCGTTTTCCCTTCTTCTCGGTAAACCTTTGTGGAAGCCACAAGGACCAATAAGACACCGCAAGAAACCCCAAAGAACACGGAAGCAAACGGAATAACATGTTCGAAGGGCGCAGGTGGCCGCAGGGTTTTCTCTCACGATGTCTGGTCAAAGGTCTAGCTGATTCCGGCCTGCGTGTATGGCACTGCACAGTTGCATTCCCCCCATTCTTGCCCCGACACCCCGACACCGGGGGGACATCCCGAAGACCAGCATCAACATCAAGTGCACAGCTCTAGCGCAGGGCGTCGCAGGGCTAGATAAGAAACCCACCCTAGGCACTTCCAAGAAATCCACCAGAAACTGAGTGAGTGCACGCAGAAGACAACATGCCAAAGATTTTGCTCCTCCCTAGAATGTATAAACTTTGGGAGGGCTCCCGATGCAATTCGTTAGCGTAGAAACAATTTGCAGAGACGAATCTACACAAACTACAAGTAGGCCCAACGGAGTTCTATGGAGCCGTAAGGCGCCGTAAGGGTCGGGATTGAATCATGTGTGCCATGGCCAGCACACAATGAACAAAACAAGGTCTGTGCCATGAAACTCAAGATGAGCTCAATGTAACATGATATTTCCATGAACCCTCACTGTAAGCATCAAAGAACATATCATCGACACAACACAAGCCAACCAAGGTGGTCTACATGAGCATCATCAGCGAATCCCTGGGGATCAAAGCTGTCCCAATGAGCCCGAGTGAATCCGAGGTATACTTATGCCCTATGCAGCGGCAAGGGGCACCAAGGAAACATACAACAAATAAAGAACAGCGCGTAGCATTACAATGATACCAAATATTCACAACAACAACAATCTCAGCAACGCAGGGAGAGAACCTAAGGAACGCTATCGGGTGTTTCTGAATATCATTCCGCGGTGCGGGATGCGATACGGTTGTGTTAGAGGAGGGGTCGCGAGTTGTTGTGTATTAGTATGATCCTTCCTCGCGGCTTGGCTACGTCCTTGCACTTGGCCTCCCCGAAGGACGAACGAACTGCATTTCGAGAGAGTGTTTTGTATAGCTCGAGCACGCCGCTGCCGCGAGCGCCGTCGGCATGTCGGACGACATCCCTGGCGAGGATACGTTTGTAGGGGGTCCGAGCTTTGGTTGCAGACAAGGAGGAGGTGGAGGAGGATGAGCACTAGGTGGATGCGCTTTTTGTTTGGGGTGGAGCCTCCTGGGGGTCCCTTGCGGCCATGGCCGGATGCAGCTCGAAAGATCTGGCAGGATGGCGTCCGGGAGGCGTCCAGAGGTTGATTGTGCGCAAATATAGATGAACCGGCTCAGACCCCGAGGGGTCACCGAAAATTCACGACAGACGTGATTGTTGCAATTCTGTCGGCGCCACCCGAACATATTAATACTACGTGTGCATCGCCCCCAAGGGGGCGACGGACGCGCCGAGAAATCTTATAGTATATGCTCCGTGGCGGGCGCTTTCTGGCCGTACCGCGCGGGAGACGACGTACTATAAGATGGTTATACGATACGTTCGTGTCGAACGCGCGCCTCCAAGGAGGACACATATTGCTACTATGTCCTCGTGCGTCCCATTTTTGCCTCTGGGAGCCATTCTCGGGTCCTGGGACCATCAAACAACGGCCCGCGGCCAATCATCAGTGCTAGGGGTACGATCGAGAGTTCAAGGGCCTGCGCCATTAGAAGAAGACGACGTCGGGCGTCTGGGACGGGAGCAGCCCCGAACTGCACCCCCGTCAGCAGCGAATCCATGCAGTCAAGTCGCATCGTAAGGATGAGGATATTTCCAAGGCTGCTGGCCAGCTTCGTTTTGAAAACGCCAACATTGGCCCTTCAAGGCTCTGCATCCTTACCGCGTATCCCAATTATGCGACTTTATTGTATCCGTATCGTGTACATCCAAGTCGTGTCCGAGAAGGCCGGAGAAAAAATAGCACGTGGCCACGATTGTGGTCATGCCATGTTTGTTGCATCCCGTGGCTGGTTGCCAATCTCGATTTTTGTCAGCGGGGAGGGGGATGATTGCGAGATGGATCTAGCTGGATCATGGCCGCATCATGTCAGGGATCATCTCCCGTCAGCGTCAGACTCAGGAGTTGGTGACAGCAGGCTATCTTTTGTCACAATTGCGCCAGTTGTTAGCAGACCTTAACTCTCATTCTTGGCAGACCTGGCACGTAGCGTTGCTTCAGCAGCATTCCCCAGCGCTGCCAGAAAAGTTTCGTTTCTTATGCGCATCGACTCTTGTGATGCACAGTTGAAGCGTAGGGATGACGTCCTCGTCGGTTCAGATCAGGTCCGATGCTCCTGCCTCAGGCCCCTCCATGGCTCTCCAAGAGGTCCGGGCTCCTCTTTCAGGCTCCTCCTCGGGCTACAGTGGGGGCCCATGCCAAGAACCACCCTGTTTGCCTCCAGGGTGTCCTGGGTTTCTTGGGTTTCGATGGTTTTGCTGTGGAAGGCGTGACATTCCCACGCCAGAAATCAATGGACATCCTGGGGTCTCAGGTTTGCGTTTCTTGTGGAAGGTTTCTTGTGGTCGGGCCCCCACTGTACCCAGGCATGGCCGAGGCTATACAGTCGGGGAAGCGCAAGACTCGAGGTTGCGGGACCTCGGGCTTGCTGGCGTTTTTTGACGGGCTCGTTCTGGACTTTGACGGTCCAGTCTTCGTGGGACGTCTGCAGCGGGAGTTCGCGCTGAATTTTAGACCAGGTCTCGTCATTTTCCTGACGACTCAGTCAGGCCAACTTTGGTGCTCAAAATTCGAGTCTTACGTCCTTCGGAAAAAGGGTTTCGTCCATCCAAGTTTCTTGATGGCGAGACGCTTTGTTGTGACCCAGTCCAGGCCGATTCGGGGGCGTAGTCACCCATCGGGCCTGCATGTTGTGTCCTGTCTAGGCCTGCATGCTGTTTCTTGCATGTCTGGTCCCTCGTACGCTTGAGGCTTGTATGCTGCGCCTTGCAGAGTGTGATTTGGCATCTCGGTTTCGTCTTGTTTTCGCCATCACTTGTTCTTCTGATGCGTCTGGCATCGGCGACATCTCAAACATATTTATACTGCATTTGCGTCGCCCCCCCAGGGGTGACGCGCGCACCAAGAGATCTTCTATTGTGTGCGTCGTGGTGGGCGCTTTCTGGCCACACTGCGCGGGAGACGATGTACTACAAGCTGGTTATACTAGATGCTCCTGTCGGGCGCACGCCTCCAAGGAGGACACATAGCACTACCAAGATTAGGTCCTTGTGCCTCACATGGCATGTTATGCGCCCCCATTTATCGGCTGTCGCAGAGCAGCGCTCATCAGCTCGGGCGGCGCTCGCGGAGCAGTCGCTCATCAGCGACAGGACTTCAAACTATCCCTTCACGATATCATCGGGACCACATTCCAGTTCACGTTCGATTGCAGTATTCATCGGGGTATATTTCAGGCCTTGCTGCGCATCTGACTTCGACCATTCGACATTGATTTGCATATCAGCCCATCGACTTCCACAGAGAAGCATTGATGGAGGCTTTACGAAAAGAAGAACACATATCGCGTGGAATTCCTCAATGCAGTAGAAAGCCGACTGAAAAGAAGAGACATAACAGCATCAGCACATCAGACGACACGAGCAGACTCCTAATCATGGATGGGCATACCTCTTGCAAGTGTTAGCACAGGGGCGACAGCGCTATTGCACTTCAAGGATGGAGCCAGACGAGAGATACAAACAGCGAGCAGATCAAGTACTAGAACTACTCCAGCAAAGACGGTAATTTCGTCTTCGGTGTTCGGCACTCGCAGAAGAACAATTTGATGCTGGGACCTCTACCATTGATTGCAAGCCGCACGCCACGCCGCCTCGTCGCCATACCCCCGAAGAGGACAGTCAGACGATGCCCCAAATGAGCTCCCAAGGTCCCTGTCCTGACACGTCTCCCTGCGGGAGCCTTCAGAGGCCGATATCAGAGCGTGCCACCGGCCTTGATGAGCGGTAAGCCGAACTACCCGAACAACTCAGAGTGTTATCCAAATTTCAGCGACAGCCGCGACGAAGACATCCAGTAGCATTGCGAGAGGGGGTTACCCATGAGCTTCTGTTATCTATTAACATACCAACAGGGTCGTAAAGCAGAATTGGTACGCCTTTTTTTTCAGACTACGCTCAGCACGAGCAACAGGCCAAGGACAAGAAACTACAAACGAGTTGCAACAGCACTTCCCACGTCGACGGGTTTACGGCAACATTTTCAGTTAACTGCTGGAGAAGGCGGCATGGAGGCCACCATGATCCCTAGCTGGGAAGCTCATGTTGGTGAATATGTCTACGGACCTGAAGGATTGGAGAACGAAAAATTCACTTCGCCATGGTCACAGCAAGGACTTGATTGTGCGCGCGACAAGCTCAAAATGATTTCTTCTCATTCCAGAGTCGCCCCAAAGAGAGAAGCAGCGCCACCATGGTCATTCCCAGTGGAAATTTGCTGGGTGCTATTTCACCCGCGCAGACGAACCTCGCGCAGTCTGAGAGGACTCGGCTACGAACAACCAGAGATCGACCTGCGCGAGACGCGAACATTCCTCAACAGTACGATGCACAAGGTACACAGGACAAGTGCAGTACCTCTATCATGGAGCCTATCCAATGGCATAGTTATTACATGGAAACGAGTTATACACGTCTTATGCCCGTTTGGAAAAGCATGCATCTCCAACTGTATATGTCCATCGCCGCGCAATCAAGGGCCCATTTTTCTCACAGACGCGCGGCAGCACGGAGGCGAGACACGGCCATGATGTTGCAGCAGTCGCTAGGACGCAGAATTCGACAGATGGGAATGTCGTATCTCCGTGGCCACAAAGACGTATTAATGCTTTCGGCGTCACTTAATTTGCATCGCTCGCGGCCAGCAACTCTACGATTACGCTGGGTCCAGAAGCCCGCTTTGGACGGCGTCGCTTCCTCTACTCGGCCGCGTGCCTTCAACTGCCTGAAGGGGCGTTGTTTGTCAAATCCAACGCCGGGGCTCTGCGTGGCGACCCATGGGCGGTAACAGTGTTTACGCGAGACATAGGCGCAGTATTTCAGTATGCGCAGGCCCAGTGCGCAGACGCAGGTGACGAGACAGCCACGCGGCGCGTTATTGCTATCCCTACGGTCGACGGAGGCATTGGGGAGCTTGGTCTATCATTTCATAGTTCGTTGGCGACGCCACGCGAGTACGAGTTGCTACAGGTACCAGTGGGGAAGATGGAACGGAACTCAGTAAGAAGTCGCTTGCCTACGAGCAGGCACTCACAACAGGAAATCAGGCGAACAACTTTATCATCAACCCATGCAAGAATGAGAGCGCGATGGCTGCATTTGGTCCGAGCGCGCAGTTGCATCGCAGAAAGTTCCGAGACGGACAGCCCCCCTCCGCAGGTCGGCCGCAAGGCCGAGCGCGCTGATTGGGGGGAATTGCACGAGCAGGCACTTCTTTTGCAAGCGAACTTTCTTTCTGATTGGAAGCAATGTGTGCTGGATTCGCGGCGATGGGTCGCTATTGGCATCAGCGGCGTCTGCCGCGTGTTAAACAAATATTGACTTTCCTCTGCTGAATTTTAGGCCCTGCTGTTTCACGCTTGGAAGCGTTCGCCCCTACCTCGGCTCTGCTCCATAAGATGCAGGTTCGCATCCTATATTATGCCAGAACAAGTCATGCGGGGGGGGGGGGGTCGTCCAAGTCCACAGGTTCTCACATGCTCTCGATTCCGAATGGGGATGCTCTTCGTTACTGGCGCATTGCCCCTCCAGAACTAGAATGCCGGGCCAGGAGGACTACATGGTGCCAGTCTTGGGTGAGGGACCCCAAAAACACGTCGCTGACTGGGGAGCTCTTCTGGGAACCATGAGGGCGGAAGAGGAAGCAGGACTCTGCATTTTGGATGAGGATGGCCAACTCTCTGAACGCGCTTGCACCTGGGCCCGATGTTTCGTGGAGGACATCGTCTCTGTGCAGGGCCTCGGAGATGGCGAGCGCGGGATGATTCAAGAGTTCTTCGCCCCCCCCCCCCCCCCCCAGAGATCGCAGAGGGCTTCGCCCAGCTGGGCACTGAGCTTATTGGAGCTCACTGGCTTGGAGCGCGGCGCATGCCCCCCCCCCCCCCCCGCCCCCCCCCGCCCCCGCGCGCCCCCGCCCTCCCACCCCCTTGGGCTACGCCCCGTCGCGCGCGAACGATGATCAGATCGCACCGCCCGCTTCGGCTGCGCAAGCAGATTACCGATGCGCAGTTCCAGGTTGTAGCAGAGCATATCGCCGCGAGCGACGGCTCCTAGTGCGCCTTCAAAATCGCCATTGGTTTCGCTCGGTACCAGGGCTAGCAGCATGTTCGAACCAGTGCTTCGTTCGCGAAAGCGTTTTCGAACCCAGAAACTCGGTCTGCAAGCGCGCTGTAAACAGTTTCAAGACGGGGGCGCGCGTGCATTCTAGGAGCTCGACATGCCAGCCCAGTGGCCAGTCCTGTTCTAACATGTCCGCAATGGGAGGCCCAAGAGGAAACATCGCCGCAGCTTCTCTTCCACATGCGATCGGATTCCGCACTCCTACCCGTCGCGGGCGATGGGGGCGTCGGTGGCCCCCGACTGGTTCGCGGCACAAGGGGGGGAACGCAAGGCAGATGGAGGGCAGGAACAAGCGCCGCAGGACAAGCTCGGCAGGCCCCAAAAGGAAGCACTCAACAACGAGGAGGGTAAAGGATCGGCGCTGACCGCGTTGATAACTGTATTGCGCCGCCCCTCATTGCACAACAGTCGCGAGTTAGCAGGGCTCATCGGCGCCCACGCATGCTACTTGGTTCCTCCCACCGCAGGGCCGGTGGAAATAATTCAGGCTGCAGGACGAGATTACAATGCCGAGCGCAAGGAGGCCGGCAAAGACCATGGACTGGGACCCCCATGGCCTCACGTATTCATGAGACTTCTGTACTACTTGTAGTTAGCGCGGCGGACAACAACCCAGTCCCCATAAAGACGACGCCGATGGTCTAGTGGCACACCACAGCGAAGATGAACCAAGCGACGGCGTTCCGTACTGTCCACTGTTCCAGAGCACGTTCAGTTTCTCCGCATGAGAGGATTCCACTCCGACAAGAAAAAGCACTTGGAGCCCCAGCAGCGCAAGTTCTAGTAGCTTGTGGCGCCTGCTCTCCCGACCATCAGGATCAGGGGCCAGGACGCGGATCTGCTGACCCTGCACGAGGCGATCGCACATGCAGCGGAGGCGCAGGGGGGCAGGTTCAAACCAGGATCTGCGCCGAGAGGCGCGATGGAGAGGGACGCGGAGAAGCTACAGAGTCGCGTCGGGCTATCCCACGGCTCCGCCCAGAAGCAGGTTCACAAGAAATAGCACAGCTGATTGTGATACAGGGATCTGAACGGATGGTGATGATATTGCAAACGAGATATCTGAATGATGAGGCTCCGCGCAGAATGCAGCGCACGCCAGCCAGGCCTATAGTATGATGCAAAGTCGGTGCTAGATTGGTTTGTTTTCATCATGTCGGTACCGATGTGGGCCGAGTATAGATATCAGAACACTGCTTCAGAGGCCCTCCACGGTCCGACTTACGAATAGTGCCTTCTCCTTCCTTCTGTTGAGCCCCATCCACCGTTCCCCTTGCTCGCTCCGCCCTCTCCCCCTCCTCAAACGTCCGATCCCAGACCTGACAACACTTAGAAACAAAAGCATGGTAGGATTGCGGCTTCATGGCTCGCACTTGGAGCTCTCATGTGATAAGGTGCCTCTGGAGGGCCACGGAGGGGCCCACAGTGGAATCCCCCCGCAGGGCCGCTGGTAGACGCATTCTCACGCGCTCACACACCCATGTGCATATCCAAAGTCTGAATCGTTTAAGGCCTACGGCCCCCTCACCCAGCAAGACGTCGATCAACGTGCTCGTGGGTGGTCTTGTCTTGTCTTGTCTCGTCCTCCTCCTCCTCCTCCTCCTTCCCCTCCTCCTCCCCCTCCTCCCCCTCCGCTTCCTCATTTCTTCGACGTGCCATGCAGCTCTCCCGCCTTCGGCGCGCTCCGACTTTCGATCGCGCCATCGTCCTCGTGCGTCTCCCACGCGCCTCGACGCGGCAAATTCCATCTCCCCCTCCTCTTCTTCCTCCTCCTTCTCCTCCTCCTCCTCCTCCTCTTCCTCCTCCTCCTCCTCCTCTTCCTCCTCCTCCTCCCTCCTCCTCCTCCTCCCTCCTCCTCCTCCTCCCCGCCCTCCCCCTCCTAGTCCTCCTCTTCCTCCTCCTCCTCCTCCTATTCCTACTCCTCCTCCTCCTCCTCCTCCTCCTCCTCCTCCTCCTCCTCCTCCTCCTCCTCCTCCTCCTCCTCTGCTGGATAGTCTTAGGGCCAGGGCGCGAGCTAAACGATTGTTTTGCGATTTCGTGGGCCGTTTTCGTTTCGATGTCGTTTTGCAACAGGGGCGGAAGCGAAGACAGAACGATGGCAAACGACAAACAAAACGAAGGTGTTTGGGACTTCGCTCCGCTCCGCTCGCCCCGCTCGCCCCGCGGGGGGGGGCCGCCCGTGCTGCAGCGCCCCGCGTGGCCGCAGGACTCCGACGAGGAGGAGATCTGGGGCCTCCTCGCGGGCAGCGCCCCGGACGGCGGGGCGGGGGGGGCAGGCAGAGCACCCGCCGCCGCCCGGCTTCCGCAGGGCTGGGCCCACAGTCGGATGCATGCGGTCGGGAACTTTCTTTCGGTAGCAAGTCATGTTGTTGAAGTCGAGAAATGGAGAGGAAGCAAGCTGCCAAACAATTCCCAGGTGTCTAAAGCATGTTTCAAACATGTCTTAAACATGTAAAATTATCTTGGCGAAGGACCTCACCATGTGCAATTATGGGTGCCACAGTTGTGAGCCCCGCCTTCGGTGGAGCTCCCTGTGGGGCCACGAAACGCTTGAGGGGTGTGCCGAAATGGGTGCTATTGCGCCAGGCGAACCCTGCCAGTGAGGCCTTCGGTGGAGCTCCCTGTGGGGCCACGAAACATGCGAGGGGTGCGCCGACATGGGGCGGGGCTGTCATGGGAACTTTGCCACTGGGGCCTTCGAGCTCCCCATGGGGCCACGAAACGTGTGAGGGGTGCGCCGGGATGGACGCGGTGGCGCCATGCGAATTTTGCCATTGGGACCTTCGGTGGGGCTCCCGATGGGGCCACGAAACGTGTGAGTGGTGCGCCGAAATGCGGCGGGGCCGCCATGCGAATTTTGACACTAGGGGCTTCGGTGGAGCTCCCCATGGGCCGCCCGCGCGCTCGCCGCCGCCGCGGTGCGCTCAGCCGGAAAGGTCGAAGACCACGTCCTCGTCCTGCTCCTCCACGGCCGCGGCCTTCCTCTCCTCCTTCTTCTCGCCGCCGCCCGCCGCCGCCCGCCGCCGGCGCTGCAGCCACCGGGTTCGCCGCAGCGCACGCCTCGGGGTCCTCCAGGAACTTTTTGACAGGCTCCATTTCCTCCTCCCCCTCCTCCTCCTCCTCAGCGGCCGGCTCCAGGGCCTTTTCCCTCTGCGGCGGCTTCTGGCGCGGCGCCTCCTCCTCCTCCTCGGCGGGCTCCTCCTTCCTGGCTGGACGGGCAGGGGGCCTCTGCGGTCTCCTCCTGGCCTGCTGCCGCCGGCCGCCGGCTCGTCCTCGTCCTCGTCCTCCTCCCCCTCCTCCTCCTCCTCGACGCTCGTCGTGCGTTGCCTCCTGGCCGTCGTCCTGACAGCCTCCTTTGGGCTCCCGCAGCCTCCCTGCTGCCTCCTCGTGGTCTCGTCGTCGCTCTCCAGCCGCTGCTCCTCCTCCTCCTCCTCCTCCTCCTCCTCCTCCTCCTCCTCCTCCTCCTCCTCCTGGTCGCCGCCCTCCGCGGGGCTTCCTCAGCGCCTCTCCGCTGCCTCCGCATGGCGTCGTCGTTGTTCTCCTGCTGCTCCTCCTCCCCCTCTTACCCCTCCTCCTCCTGGTCGCCCTCCCTCGCCTCGTCGCCCTCGGCGCCCGCCGCCCGCCCTTGCGCCTCACGCGACGGCCGCCGCCGCCGCCGCCTCCACTGCAGCCGCCGCCGCCAGGCGTGCCGGGGTCGCCCCGGGCCGCGGGCGCTGCAGGCGCTGCAGGATGGCCCGCGCGTTCTCCCTGTGTAGGGAGATGGAGAGTCGCTGGGCCATCCTGTCCGCCGTGCTGGCGGCCTCCTCGCCGCGCGCGTCAGCCGCGCGCTTAGCCAGCACGGCGAAGGCGCGCCGCGCCTCGCCGCCCCAGCTCCCGCCGTGCGCCTCCACCACCATTGGGATGAAGGCGAGGTCCGCGTCGCGGCAAGCCTGCGCCGTGCCCTGGTGCTGCCGCTTGTACTCCTCGTGCCTGTCGAGGGCGGCGGCCGGGTCAGCGGCGGAGCGCGCGATGAGGTCCGCGCGCAGGCCGGACGTCACCGCGAAGTCCAAGGCCGCCGAAAGCCCGCCGCGCCACCGGGGGACATAGACATCCGCTGGCCGGCGGCCGTCGTTGTCTAGTCCGTCGCCGTCGGGCTCCTCGGCGTTCGGCCCCTCGCCCGGCGCCCGCGGCGGCAGCAGTCCGGGCCGCTCCAGCTCCGCCCCCGAGAAGCCAGCGGCCTGGGCGGCAAAGAAGGTGCCGTTCCGCAGCTTGTTGTGGCGGCGCGTGCGGTCGCCCTGGCAGGCGCACGTCAAGGCGTGGTCGCAGTACACGTCCATGACTTCCCCGCACGCTGGGCAGAACGCTTCCTCGTCCATCAGCTGGACCCGGAGCCGTCGCTTGATCCCGATCTGCATCAAGCTGTGCGGGACCGCTGTGCCGAACGCCTCGCTGGGGGGCGCCTGCAGGTGCGCGCCGGCGCCGGGCGCGGCCACCAGGGCGAGGTGGGCGCGCGTCGCGGCCGAGGAGCGGCCCCAGAGGGCGGCGCGCGCGGCGTCGTCGACCTGGTCCGAGAGAGTCTTCTGGTTGGAGTGCGTCTCGCAGTCGAAGCGCGCAGCCTGGTTTGCCCCCGCCACGCTTGCGTTGTGGGTCTGGAGCGCCGCCGCCAGGGCCCCGGCGTCGCCCGCGTCGTCGTCTGTGTAGCCCGCGTACATGGACCGGCAGAACTCGCTGCTCTTGGCGCGCGAGGACAAGTAGGCCGCCGGCGAGTGCTTCTCAGCGGAGCGCAGCCCCAAGCCGCCCTTGTTCAGTTTCAGCTGCGCTTGGGCCCAGGAGTCGTCGGTGAGGGAAGCGCCGGCCAGCTGTTCCAGGCAGGAGCGCACTGCAGCGTCCATCTCCAGGAGAGCCTCGGTGTGGGCGGAGGGCGGCGCCACGCGCGCCGAGTAGCCGAGCTTGCAGTAGGAGGCACACTGCCGGAGAAGGTGAAGGGCAACCTGCGCGTCCTCCAAGCCGGCCAGTGCGCCCAGGAGCTCCGCTGCCTTCTTCACTCTTTTCTGCGTGTGCTGGAGGCAGAAATCGTCGCTCCCGATGGGCGCGCCGAGGAGCTCAAAGCAGCTGTCGGGGCGCAGTCGGAAGCCCGGTGGGAAATCCGCCGCGGACGCGTTGCTGTCCGCCCCCGCTGAAGGGACCACCTCGCACTTGCCCGGCCCCGTGCTGAGGTCGAGGCCGACTGCTGCGAGCTCGGCCACGACGAGGCGGAGGAAGCGCGCCACAGCCTGTCTGTCACCCGCCACGCAGCCGTCGTCCAGGTAGAAAAAGACGAGGTCCAGGCCGGCGTCCTGGGCAAGCTCCCTGAGGCTGCGGCTCGCCGTCTCCGCGCAGCGTTGGAGTGCCAGGGAGAAGAGCAGCGGGCCAAGCGGGTCGCCCTGCTGGACACCGCACTCGGAGCGCAGCGTCTGCTTGCCGAGGAAGAGTAGCGAGGGGCTGCCGTAGCACCAGTCCGCCCAAGGTGCCAGCGCGGGAAAGTCCTCGTGCACTGCTCTGAGGACGGCCCCCCGGTCCAGGGTGTTGAAAGCGTTCGAGAGGTCCAACTTCACGAAAACTTTGTCCCTGTCGCCCAGGTTGCGCGTGAACCACTGCCTGGCCACGTGGATTGCCGCCTCGGCGCCTCCCGGGACGGCCACGCCCACCTGCAAGGGCGCAAGGCGGTCGCGGGCTGCCCCGGCGACCTCCTTGCAGAGGCACTTGCCCACCAGGCGGCGAAGTGTCTCGCCGACGGCCACCGGGCGGAGGCCGCCGTCGTTCTTCGGGAGAGCCACCAGCGAGGCGCCAGCAAAGTAAGCCGCGACCGCCGCCGGAGCCTGGCCGCGCGCGAGCACGTTGACGAGGCCAGCGAGCTGCTCGACTACCTCGTCCCTGTGGGCTGCCGTCGCCAGGGCGTCCTGCAGGTGTTGCGGGCGCAGGCCAGTGGGGCCGGCGGCCGAGCCCTTGGGGAAGGCCCGCACTTCCTTTTGGACGACAGAGACGTCGACCTGGGCTGCGGCGGCCGCGTGGACAGCAGGCAGGCTAGCCAGGTCCACAACCGGCTGCTGGCTGCGGGGGTGTTTGCGGCCCATCTGGTCCACGACAGCCGGCGTGACGGACACGGGCGGCTCCGACGTCAGCGAAGCGCAGCTTTTCGAGTAAAGCCCCTCCGAAGCCAAGTCGAGGCAGCGCTGTGCTCGGTGAGTCGCCTTGTCCGTTCCCCCTGTCTGGCGCCGCTCTGTCGTCTCCGCCCACAGCGTCTGGCGCTCTCCCTCCAGCCAGCGGCGGCAGAGGTTCTTGGCTTCCTCCTCGCTGGCGTTCCGGCTGCCTCGGCCTCCGCGGCTGTGCGGTCGCAGCACGCACTTGGGCAGCATGGCCAGTTGGACCCAAGCTGCTTCGGTGTTGTGGTGGACCGCCAACGCCACGGCCTGCACCAAGCACTGTGCCCACAACGCCCTGGCCCCCCTGGGCACGTGGCGCCTCGTGCCGGCGCGGCTGGAGAAGACCACCCTCAGCGAAGGGAGCCCTGGCTGGCCGTTCGCGTCGCCAGCGTCGGCCGGAAGGGCCTGGGGGACCGCGGCGGCCGCTGCGCGCGCCGCTGGCCGGCACCTGGGGCACACTCCCTGGTAGCGCAGACTCAGGAACCGCTGACACACCGAGCATTGGCCGAGGGCGTGCTGGTCAAGGAACTCCTGCGGGACGGGCGGCAGGTTGGGGTAGCGGCCCGCCGCGTGCTCGTTTAAGTGGACCCTCGTGCTCTCCTGGCAGGACCACCCTGGCGAGGCGGCAGGATCCGCGCGCGGGCAACCGGGCACTGGGCAGTAGACGCGGGGCCGCCGTCGGGCTGCAGGGCGGGGCGCGGCGGGGGCTGGCTGCGGCGGCTCCGCGGCCGGCGGCGGCGCGGCAGCAACGGCTGGCTCCGCAGCGTGCCGGGGTCCCCCCTCTGCCGGCATGGCCAGAGGCTGCTGGGCGCCCGAGGGGGCAGCTCCTTCCAGCGCTGCTCGCCGACGTTGCTCGGCCAGCGGCACGCCCGCATCCTGGTCCACGTCTCGCGTGTCGTCCAGGCGCATGCTGTTGATTCGCTCGTGGAGGAGGGGGTCGTCGCCGGGCTCATCGCCTTCCGTGCGGTTGCGTCTGAGCGCGCGGCGTCCCGGAGAAGCACGGGCGCCGACCTCCACGAAGGTGTTCCTGACCGACACCGCGGCCTCCGTCTCCATCTGCGCGGGGCCCGCACTCGATGCACTTGCCGACCCA